GCCTTATCAGTTGGACATTCCGGTTTTTATCCTGCTTTTTTTTAATTCACTAACGCTCTAAAAATGAATATTTCAGCCGCAGTAAAGAATCAACGTTGGCGGATTTTGGTTCTTGACATCCTTTACGATCGGTTACGATGCCTAGAGTACGGAGACCTGTACGATTTCGTCAACTTAGCGAGTTTGATAGGGGCCGTATAGTGGGACTTCGGGAAGCTGGACTTTCTTTTCGCGCAATTGCAGTTAGAGTGCAAAGAGAAGTGTAGACACTGTGGTTTGGTGTTGTCAGGCATGGCTGCGAGAAGGCCGTACGCAAAGTGCAAGAGGCACTGGACGCCGCCGTAGAACAACAGACCGTGAAGATCGCCGCCTAAGATTATTGGCCTTAAGGGACCGTTTCTCCACTACCAGGTCCATTGCAAATGAATGGTTTGCAGAACACGGAAGACCTATTGGCATGCGAAGTGTTTACCGACGAATGAGAAGTTTTGGCTTGTTTTCATACCGGCCACACTGGGTCCTCCCTTTAACTCGAGAACACCGACGTAATCGCCTTGAGTGGTGCAGACAACGGTCACTCTGGGATCAGGAATGGAACAGTATTGTCTTTAATGACGATTCTCGATTTTGTTTAGGCATGCACGATGGTCGGGCCAGGGTTAGAAGACGACGTGGTGAAAGGAGAAATCCACAGTTTTTTGTTGAAAGACATGTTCATCACACTGTTGGAGTTATGGTTTGGGGTGCTATAGCTTATGGCTCCAGGTCACCAGCGTTATATCCACGAAGTTCTAGAACCCCATCTTTTACCCTATCTTGACACCCTGGCAGATCCAACTTTCCAACAAGATAATGCCCGACCACATGTTGCAAGAGTCACAATAGACTTCTTTCAACATAATGATGTCACATTGTTACCATGGCCACCAAGATCTCCCGACTTATCCCCAATTGAGCACGTGTGGGATATGATGGGTAGGAGATTGCTCAATTTGCAACGTCCTCCTCAGACACTAGAAGCGCTTCGAGAGGAGTTGGTGGTTGCCTGGAATGAGATACCGCAGGAGGACATTGACCACCTGATCAGAAGCATGCCTAGGCGCGTTGGAGAATGCGTAGCACATCAGGGTGCATCCACACATTATTAAAGGTCAAAGGGCTTTAAAGCAGTGCAATCATTTTGAAATTTTTATCATTTACTTATTATGCTTCATTAAGTACTTATACAAAATTTTATTAAAATAAAACCATTAAAACTGGGTGTTCGGATTTATATGTCACTTAGTATATATATCAAATGATGATTATGACAATATAACTTGCTTTATGAAATAGATTATAAAAGTGACTTTACCAAATGAAATCATGTCCTATCCTAAAATTGGTTGTCCAAAAAGCTGATAGATATACACTTTTACAACACCAAAGAACGAAAGATTTGCCTTTCTCCGCTTTTGCTTCTCCAAATAATTATATAAATTTATCATCGGCCCAGGAAATGTCCTGAATCGAAGTTTGATTGTTGATAGATTCATATTCGTCTTTATTAACCACAAGTTCATGTGATGAATAAAAAATAAATAAGCTATATAATATAAATAAAACGTATAACAATATTAATAATAATCAATATAAAACAATTCATATAAATCTTCATTAGGAAGGTTCGTCATTTTTTGATTTTTACATCATGAAATGTATTTGACACTTACTGCTTCAAGAAATATGTAACAACAATATGTAATTTCACATTAAACACAATTAAAAACAGAAAGTAACTTTGGTGGAAATATTTAAAAAAAGAACGATTGAGGTGTGGATGATTACAAAATTCATAAATTTTGATATTTTATTAGTTATTTTCATGTTTTGATGGAAGCATTCAGCGTTTTGAGTTACCTAACAGACAATTTTAAATGTAAAATGTAAAATAAACACACTAATGGCCTTATTATGTGGTAAATACAAATGTTCTCGATGAAATAAATTTATATTGTACATAATGAAAACCAGTTAAAACTTCGAACTCCACAGCTCCACATAACCTCAAATGCAATAGCGGCTCAGGGGAAGAAATTGTAGAATAAAAAGACACCTGCTACGTAAGTGAACCCTTATATGTAAGCATAATTATACAGGGTGTTTCAGTTTATTGTTGCATAACTCTAAGATTCGATAGAACTTTTAAAACTAATGTATAATGTCTATATAAACATGGGTCGAAAAATGCGTGGCTTCCGAAATACAGGGTGTTTAAATTTACTTTCTAAAATAGTTTTTTTTTAAATATTTCGAACAACATTTGATGTATAACAGTGAAAATTGGTATACAAGGGTTTTTTGGTACGACAAAACGAACTGTAGCCGCTAGAGGGCGCTCTCTACTGTACCTGTACCTAGTGTATTAAAATGACCGAAAAAATTTTTTTAGTGCAATTTTTTGCTTTTTGAATAAAAAACTGATTCTTCGCACTTTTCAACATAAAAAAGCTCTCTTGTGAATTTTCGTTATAAATAACCGTTTTTGAGATATTTCGATTTTTAAGGTTCGATGCATTTTTAATTATTTATGATAAAATAACGTTAAAAAGTTAGTATCTCGATAATTTTTAGAAGTAGGCTGTGCCTGCAAATATTTTTGAAATTGAAAGCAGAATAAGGTTAAACGTCAATTAGTTGACAGTTAGTTTTGTTGTCTGTTGAAACCTGAAACGTTTTTTGCAATTGTGAATGCACGAAATTTACTTTCTTTTACCTGTTTTTTTTTGTAAGTTTTATAAAAATGCCATTTTTATTCTCCAATCAAGAGTTAGCGGATGTACATTTTGTGTATGGCTTTGTAAATGGAAACGCAGCAGAAGCAGCCAGATAATACGCACGAAGATTTCCAAACAGACGACATTCAACTCGCTCAGTATTTGTAAGAGTGCATCGCCAAATAATTGAAAATGGTTTTGGAAATCTCCAAAGGGATCAAAACAAATGTTCATCAGCGCAGATTTATCCGTATGATTCTAAGTGATAGAGATCCGACCGCAAGTGTTAGGAGAGTTTCTGGTGCCTTGAAAATTTCAGCAAGCCGTGTTCTTAGAAATGACCATAGACGTCCTTACCATTTGCAACCTGTGCAAGGTCTACAGCCAGGGGACGGAGAACGAAGAATCACATTTTGTCAGTGGATTCTTGATAGAACTGATAATAATAGGGAGCCTTTAAGTAACGTTTTATGGACCGATGAGTCATGCTTCACTAGACGTGGAGTGGTAAATTTTCATAATCCACATATTTGGTCGCATGAAAATCCGCATGCAGTTCGGGAAAGAAATTTTCAGCATGCATTTAGTGTGAACGTGTGGATTGGTATCTACCGTAATCGACTATTTGGACCCTACCTTTAGCCTGCAAGGTTAAATTCTGCGACCTTCTTGGAATTTTTAAAGGCTGAACATGCAAATATGTGGGATGATGTTATGTTAGATTTAAGAAGACTGGCCTGGTTCCAGCTTGATGGTTGTCCAGCTCATTATTCGAGAATAGTTAGAAACTGGCTGGACGAAAATTATCCAGAAAGATGGATCGGCCGTGGAGGACCAGTCGCCTGGCCTCCACGATCCCGTGACCTAAATCTATTAGATTTCTTTGTGTGGGGATTTCTAAAAAAAAGTGTACCAGACTCCCGTAACCACAAGAGATATGCTAATAGACAGAATCAGGAATGCATGTGATGAAATAAGGTCTTATTTGAATAATGCTATACCACGTTCGATCATTCGTAGATGTGAATTGTGTATTGAACAATTGGGTTCACATTTCGAGCAACTACTTTAGATTTTGTATGTTTGTCCTAACTATCCAATAGCATTTTAGTTGTAAATAATTAATTTAATTTGTTAAAAATAATATTGGAAAATTAAACAAATTAATATTCTGTTTTTTGTGTTTATTTGTAGTTAGGAATTAAGGCTGTGTTTAAAAACACAATCTAAACGATCATCTTAATTACTTGTAATGCCCACATCGAAAATGTAAAAAAAAATATTATTTTCCCATAAATGATTAAAAATGCATCGAACCTTAAAAATCGAGATATCTCAAAAACGGCTAACTATAACGAAAACTCACAGGAGAGCTTTTTTATGTTGAAAAGTGCGAAGAATCGGTTATTTATTCAAAAAGCAAAAAATTGCGCTAAGGGAAAATGTTCGGTCATTTTAATAAAATACAGGTACAGTAGAAAGCGCCCTCTAGCGGCTACAGTAAAACTTTGCCCATGGTTCGTTTTGACGTACCAAAAAATCCTTGTATACCAATTTTCACTGTTATACATCAAATATTGATCGAAATATTTAAAAAAAACTATTTTAGAAAGTAAATTTAAACACCCTGTATTTCGGAAGCCACGCATTTTTCGACCCATGTTTATATAGACTTTATGCATTAATTTTAAAAGTTCTATCGAATCTTAAAGTTATGCAACAATAAACTGAAACACCCTGTATATTTCCTTTTTGGACATTTACGGTACAGATAGACATTCATACCTTCCACACTAATGCCAAAAAGGTGCATGACTGTCGTACCTTTATACACTTTTTGTCGGACCCGTATACACTTCTTACGGCAATATCAATTACAGAACAACAGATACGGCATTAAAATAGCATTTTAAATGTTTAGTGGTAGCATTTTATAATCAAAACAATATCATTTATCTAGTCAAAGAAATTGTAAAAACTGCAAATTCCGAGAACATCCGAACCTTAATCGTTTTTTAAGGCCCACAAGGTAAGTCTGTTTCAATAGTTTTTTAAATTTTCGTCCAAGTAATAAAAATTCGACAAACCGAACTCGAGCCTTTTGGTCATAAGAGTGACACTCAACAATCAAGCAAAATCTCTAAAAAGTGTTTCATTGAAGGAAAGAAGGATAATATGTGTCTGTCACGTATACCAACTACCAAAAAAGCAGGTAGTCAGATAAAAACAACACATTTGCCCTACCTGCGACTGTTATTTGTATTCTATACAGCTGGTAGTCACACTACAACAAACAATATAAACAAAACGCGTGACGCACCGTCCAAAATCACTTCGTGCGGCAATCCGCGCGCCAGCAGCTACCGCGCGAAAACTAATTCGGAAAAGCGCGCTAATATGACAAAAAAGGAAAATGATGCGACCACCAGTCGCATCATTTGTGAGTAGGCGCGCGCATACCGAGGCACGCTGCGATACGATTGGGCATTGGGCCTCGGCGGTTCGTATCATCGTCGCATCGAGTGTTGCACAAGGTTTCGCCCAATGCATTGTGACTTGTGACGCAGATAACTGGTCGCGACCCTCTGTTGCGCGAAGGCGGAAAGTAGGTTGAGGGGCTGCCAGTGACGTGTTGCGAGGCGAATTTTTATTAGGGTTTCTAGGAACGGAACGGTCGACAAATCTGACCTTCGTGAACGTAATGGAAATACTGCTGACCGTATTTCAAACGTTGTAATTACAATGCATCGGAAGAGAAATTACGTCATATCACGTGCAGTGCCACAAAAGCAGGTGAAAGGTGAAATTCCCCTTCGCAGACACCCCACTTAAACGGACACCTTTAGATGGACAGTTTCTCATGGTCCAGACGGATTCTCATATAATTTGCACTGTATTAACTTGCTCTTGACACGAGAAAATGTTCTCATAACCGGACAAAAAACAAAATAAAAAGAAACGCCTTATCTTATTATATATATATATATATATTGAGACGTGGTCATTGTCGTCTAGACCAGTTAGGTGAAAAATTAAAGCTTCCGCCTTTTGTTGGGTACTTCGACAAGATTTAAGCAAAGAGGACTCTTTATACTTTTTTTAATTCTCTCTAGCTTTCAATGGACTTTGCCATCATCATCAGGAGAGTAGTATGTGAGGATGTTGCTAATTGTTGTTTACGTATAAGATGAGGGAAACGTCCAGTAACATGGTGAGAGCTGAATAGATTGCACAATAGTCAAAATTTATACAAAACATGACAAGAACAAGTTAAAAACAGATTAAAAATTATTTAAAAAATTTTAAACATTACATCGTGAAACCAAGGCAATCATCAGGTGGTTTCACGATGTAATGTTTAAAATTTTTTAAATAATTTTTAATCTGTTTTTAACTTGTTCTTGTCATGTTTTGTATAAATTTTGACTATTGTGCAATCTATTCAGCTCTCACCATGTTACTGGACGTTTCCCTCATCTTATACGTAAACAACAATTAGCAACATCCTCACATACTACTCTCCTGATGATGATGGCAAAGTCCATTGAAAGCTAGAGAGAATTAAAAAAAGTATAAAGAGTCCTCTTTGCTTAAATCTTGTCGAAGTACCCAACAAAAGGCGGAAGCTTTAATTTTTCACCTATATATATATATATATATATATATATATATATATATATATATTGAGACGTGGTTATTGTCGTCTAAACCAGTTAGGTCAAAAATTAAAGCTTCCGCCTTTTGTTGGGTACTTAGACAAAATTTAAGCAAAGAGGACTCTTTATACTTTTTTTAATTCTCTCTAGCTTTCAATGGACTGTGCCATCATCATCAGGAGCTGCAATTACAATGATAACAGTAGCAACAAAAGTGTAAAATGAATTTAAATTGAATCAACTTACAGTAGTATGTGAGGATGTTGCTAATTGTTGTTTTCGTATAGGATGAGGGAAACGTCCAGTAACATGGTGAGAGCTGGATACATGGGTACAATGGTTAAAATTATATAAAATATGACAAGACAAGTTAAAGACAGATTAAAAATGATTTAGAAAACATTAGAGCATTACGTCGTGAAGCCACTTGATGATTGCACAAAATGGTGGTCATGGAATAATGAGTGAGATGAACCTTTGACAGAAGGCCGAAGGTTGTCAATGTCTGTGTTGAAAGATGGAACGAATTGTGGGCGTGTGCCAAAATGTTGCCAAATCACTTTAGATGATGTGATTTTCAGAATGTTATGTAAGAAATTGTTAAGCCGACCAGAGGCAGTTGAATAAACTATATTTTAATTAATGGGAATTTTAAATTAACAATTATTAATAAATCGTGAGAAGAGAATTATTAGATTTTGAGTGGAATGAAATTTGTTGGTGGAATCGGCCAAAACACAGATTATATTTATGGTTGTGAAAAGTCGAAATTTGGGGAGATATGTAAGTTCTCCAATTTTTCGCAGTTTAGCAAATATGAGTAAATGACACTCAGCTGTTTAACATCTGTCTTTTTGTTGATACAGTTGTTATTCATGAAAATGTGTGACATTTCCAGGAATAAACGTTTGGAAAGGTGTTTTTCTTTATCAAGAACTTTGATACTTGTGTAATTCATAGAATGCCCTGTTGTGTTAACATGAGATGCTAGAGCGCATCTTTCAGGATGAAGCCTAGCATCACTTTTGTGTGATGTAATCCTTCCTTTAAGAGATCTGGAGGTCTGACCTATGTATATTTGGTTGCAGTTGTTGCAATTGATGGAGTAGACTGTGTTGGTTAAGCCAAGGAGCGGGACTTTGTCTTTCATTTTTGAAAAAATGCAGTTTATAGTGAGGACGGATTTGCAAGCAATTCGAAAGTTCAAAGGAACTGACCCCTAAGCTGATCAGATTGTGCAGTCCTTTGAACTTTCGAATTGCTTGCAAATCCGTCCTCACTATAAACTGCATTTTTTCAAAAATGAAAGACAAAGTCCCGCTGCTTGGCTTAGCCAACACAGTCTACTCCATCAATTGCAACAACTGCAACCAAATATACATAGGTCAGACCTCCAGATCTCTTAAAGGCAGGATTACATCACACAAAAGTGATGCTAGGCTTCATCCTGAAAGATGCGCTCTAGCATCTCATGTTAACACAACAGGGTATTCTATGAATTACACAAGTATCAAAGTTCTTGATAAAGAAAAACACCTTTCCAAACGTTTATTCCTGGAAATGTCCCACATTTTCATGAATAACAACTGTATCAACAAAAAGACAGATGTTAAACAGCTGAGTGTCATTTACTCATATTTGCTAAACTGCGAAAAATTGGAGAACTTACATATCTCCCCAAATTTCGACTTTTCACAACCATAAATATAATCTGTGTTTTGGCCGATTCCACCAACAAATTTCATTCCACTCAAAATCTAATAATTCTCTTCTCACGATTTATTAATAATTGTTAATTTAAATTCCCATTAATTAAAATATAGTTTATTCAACTGCCTCTGGTCGGTTTAACAATTTCTTACATAACATTCTAAAAATCACATCATCTGAAGTGATTTGGCAACGTTTGGCATACGCCCACAATTCGTTCCATCTTTCAACACAGACATTGACAACCTTCGGCCTTCTGTCAAAGGGTTCATCTCACTCACTATTCCATGACCACCATTTTGTGCAATCATCAAGTGGCTTCACGATGTAATGCTCTAATGTTTTTAAATAATTTTTAATCTGTTTTTAACTTGTTCTTGTCATATTTTATATAATTTTGACCATTGTACCATCTATCCAGCTCTCACCATGTTACTGGACGTTTCCCTCATCCTATACGAAAACAACAATTAGCAACATCCTCACATACTACTGTAAGTTGATTCAATTCATTTTACACTTTTGTTGCTACTGTTATCATTGTAAGTGCAGCTCCTGATGATGATGGCAAAGTCCATTGAAAGCTAGAGAGAATTAAAAAAAGTATAAAGAGTCCTCTTTGCTTAAATTTTGTCGAAGTACCCAACAAAAGGCGGAAGCTTTAATTTTTCACCTATATACATATATATATATATATTAGATAATAAAAAGAGTCAAAGCAGTATAATTTTGGAGGATGCTGGTAACACATTAAGTAATACTCAGGATATAGTCAATAAATTCAATAACTATTTTAAAGATACTCCGTTAAACATTGTAAATAATATGAAGGTTTTCCCAATCCTTAAAAACCGGGAAGGTAATCCCAGTTCTTAAAAAAGGAGATCCATCAAAGATTTCCAATTACAGACCAATAACAGTTCCTTTCTGCTTCTCCAAAATCTTTGAGTACTGCTTTCTAGATAGATTGTTGCGATTCCTAGAATATGAAAATACTTTGTCAATTAACCAACACGGTTTTCGCAACGGAAAAGCGACACACACGGCCTTGCTGAGTTTCATTCAGAATATTATAGCATCGATTGAGGCAGGCGAATGTCCTTTTGGGATATTTTGTGATCTCAGCAGGGCATTTGACTGTGTCAATCATGAGATACTTCTGGGCAGACTGGTTCAAGTCGGCATTGTTGGGACACCCTATAGCTGGATTAACTCCTTTCTATCCGATCGATCACAATATGTTTGTTTACATGAAAACAGCAACAACATTATCTCTGAGGTGAAATCTGATGTAACGTACGTAGACATCGGCGTACCTCAGGGATCGATTTTAGGGCCTGTTCTTTTCATTCTTTACATAAATGAATTTGAGCACTCTTTCTCCCAAGCCAATTTTACGCTTGATCTTCGAGTTAAAGATAATCAACTAAGTGTTCTCAAAGAAACAAAATTCTTGGGCTTGTGGTTGGACGAATGTTTCAATTTCAAGGCCCAGTGTGATCGATTGGTATCCAGGTTGAACTCACAGTCATATGTGTATAAAGTTCTACGAGCCACATTGACTGGAGACCAGTTAGTAACACTCTATTATGCTCAGGTAGAGTCTAGGCTGAAATATGGTTTGTGCTTCTGGGGAGTATCGACCAATGCACAACATGTCTTTTTAAGTCAGAAAAGAATTCTAAGATCTATGGCCGGAGTAAGCGCATTACATAGCTGTAGGGAGCTGTTCCAAAAGTACCAAATTTTAACGTTGCCTTCTCTATTTGTATACGAACTTTCAATATATATGTATCAAAATAAGGATACACAACTACTTAACAAGGATATAAATGCCTTCATAACAAGGCAGAGTGAAAATATGTATGTTCCTTTCGCCAAATACTGTGTCGGTAGTAGGTCACCTAGAGTTTTGGGGCCTAAAATATGTAATAAACTGCCAGAAGAAATAAAAATCTGCAGTTCACTGCAACATTTTAAAAATAGGTTAAAGGCTTTTTTATTAAATAAATGTTTGTACGCTGTTTCAGAGTTTGTTAATGTGTACATGGTATGTTTGTTTCTCATATTTGTTTGTTACTTATTTTCCATGTTTGTTAGCCCTTTATTTTTAAGATCTTATTTCATTTTATTGGATTTTTTATATTACACAAGTTCTCAGAGTAATTAAAACAGAAAATATCAGTCAGTCACTGGTTTGACCCCACATAGCACAAGTATATGTTAAAGACGTTTTAAAAACGTCATTTTGAGATATTAGAGACGTCGTAAAGACGTCTTGTGAACATTTTAAAGACGTTGTAATGACGACGTTTGTTACAAAAACTGTGCGTTTCAAAGACGTCGTTATAATACGTTCGTAAGGTCTTTAGTGCGGCACTAAAACGACATAATAAAAAACAGGCGAATTATTAAGTGTTTTTATTAAAAATATATATATAATTTTTTGTGTTATCAAACTTTTTCTGGGTGGCTGTCCGGCGATCTGAAGCTTATCTCAGCCAAGCCACAGCTGCTAGCTCCGCCTCATGGTGGCTCTGGCATACACCAGCCCTTTCAGCAGACACTGAAATGAATAAGTAGGTACATGAACTTTTCAATATTGTAATTCAAAATGTTTTTACGTTGCAAATTTTACATTATTAAATGACGCCGACTGCATCTAGCTCGAATTGGTGGACATTCAGGGCCTACACTTACCTATTAAGACACAGAACACTTTTTTCTGATGTTAAAAAACTGCCACTATTGCCAATTTAATTCTATTTTCCACTGTAAACAAGTGGGAAATCATACGTAGGCAAGAACTTTTCCCGCGTACGCTACGCCCTATGCCTTAAAAAAACACAACACAACACAAATGACAAAAGGCATTGACAGATGCGGGAGCTAGAGATGGTGCAGAGGTAAGTTTAGAGATGTGCTCTACGCATCGCCATCTGGGGGCGAATTGATGAGTTAAAACGGGATGATGCAATAAAACTTTGAAAGAAGGTTCGAGAAATAAATATATTTTAAAACTTCAACGATTTGCCCTTTCACATATACTAAGTGACATATAAATCCGAACACCCAGATTAAATGGTTTTATTTTAATGTATTTATCTTACTGTAAATAACAAGTGAAAAAATTTTCAGCCTTATCAGTTGGACATTCCGGTTTTTATACCGCCTTTTTTTAATTCACTAACGCTCTAAAAATGAATATTTCAGCCGCAGTAAAAAATCAACGTTGGCGGATTTTGGTTCTTGACATCCTTTACGATCGGTTACGATGCCTAGAGTACGGAGACCTGTACGATTTCGTCAACTTAGTGAGTTTGATAGGGGCCGTATAGTGGGACTTCGGGAAGCTGGACTTTCTTTTCGGGCAATTGCTGTTAGAGTGCAAAGAAGTGTAGACACTGTCATGGCATGGCTTCGAGAAGGCCGTACGCAAAGAGCAAGGGGCACTGGACGCCGCCGTAGAACAACAGACCGTGAAGATCGCCGTCTAAGATTATTGGCCTTAAGGGACCGTTTCTCCACTACCAGGTCCATTGCAAATGAATGGTTTGCAGAACACGGAAGACCTATTGGCATGCGAAGTGTTTACCTACGAATGAGAAGTTTTGGCTTGTTTTCATACCAGCCACACTGGGTCCTCCCTTTAACTCGAGAACACCGACGTAATCGCCTTGAGTGGTGCAGACAACGGTCACTCTGGGATCAGGAATGGAACAGTATTGTCTTTAGTGACGAGTCTCGATTTTGTTTAGGCATGCACGATGGTCGTGCCAGGGTTAGAAGGCGACGTGGTGAAAGGAGGAATCCACAGTGTTTTGTTGAAAGACAAGTTCATCACACTGTTGGAGTTATGGTTTGGGGTGCTAAAGCTTATGGTTCCAGGTCACCTTTAATTCTCATCAGAGGTAACATGAACGCGCAGCGTTATATCCACGAAGTTCTAGAACCCCATCTTTTACCCTATCTTGACACCCTGGCAGATCCAACTTTCCAACAAGATAATGCCCGACCACATGTTGCAAGAGTCACAATAGACTTCTTTCAACATAATGATGTCACATTGTTACCATGGCCACCAAGATCTCCCGACTTATCCCCAATTGAGCACGTGTGGGATATGATGGGTAGGAGATTGCTCAATTTGCAACGTCCTCCTCAGACTCTAGAAGCACTTCGAGAGGAGTTGGTGGTTGCCTGGAATGAGATACCACAGGAGAATATTGACCACCTGATCAGAAGCATGCCTAGACGCGTTGGAGATTGCGTAGCACATCAGGGTGCTTCCACACATTATTAAAGGTCAAAGGGCTTTAAAGCAGTGCAATCATTTTGAAATTTTTATCATTTACTTATTATGCTTCAGTAAGTACTTATACAAAATTTTATTAAAATAAAACCATTTAAACTGGGTGTTCGGATTTATATGTCACTTAGTATAGTTTAAAATAATGATATTAGTTAAAAAATATATTAATCTTAAAAAAGTGATCATTTTCAATCGTGGTTGGGTAAACGAAAAAATATATGTTAACTTATTGAGGATTGAGGTTTTTTAATAATTCTAACTTGTTAAGACGCCGAAATCTAAAAATTTTAACCACGTCTTCTAAGACATAAGAAAACGTCTTGAAGATATTTGTTTTATGTCGTGTCAGGATGCTCTTAAAAAAGTCACACTAAAGACATCTTAAAGATGCGTTTTTAATGTCTGCGGCGTTCAGACATTATTAGTTCATAAAGTGGACGTTTTTAAGGCGTTCGCTGCTATGTGGGACTGTTAAAAAAGTTGAACAGCCTTGACCTATAAAATAAAACAATTATTTGATACAAAACAGCTCTATTTCTTGTATACCGTCACATTGTGGCGAATTTAGATGAGGGGGGGGGCAGGTGGTCGCAAGCCCTCGCCTATATGTCCAAGTCTGAGGTATAGATTTCTGTATCTTGGTATAAAAATTACCATGCTACACAGATTCGTGAAACGTACGCCCCTTAGACATGTCCCCGCTTTTCAATTCTCACAAGGACATTTGCTGGCAGAAGCGCTTAAACATGCAGTAGCCAGCCCCCTTCCATACCAATAAGACCGTGGTAAGTAAAGCGACGAGTGGCACTTTGAAAGAGCCATCTTACTGCAAAATATTACCTCATCTTGAATTGAAATTTTTTTCTCTTTAGAGTACTGATATAAACAAATATATAATGTTATGAAAATATTTTATTGGTTTGCATCAAAAGTTTATTATTTACAGAAAAGGATTATAACAAGATTAAAATAATAAAAACAAAAATATTAAGTTATACGAATGTATAGGGAACTCCCAGAGAATAAATTTTTATAATATTACCGAACTGCTGCGTTTTATTGGAATCAGTTAGACAAAACGAGCCTATATTTACATGGCCTTATCAACTTCGTTATTTTTATATAATATCGCAAAACAAGTAACCCTATATATTTGTATGAACGTTTTGCTACATATTTAAGAGACAAATTATATAGTGCAGACGATAGATGAAAACAACAGGAACGATAGGTACAAGTTTGTACGTAAGGATAGGATGGTAATCACTATACTCTGATAAGCGTCAGTTCAAAATATGGAAAAACAGTAATCCACTTTCGCAAATGTTGGCGTTCATTTAAAAGGATTTTATATATTAAAATTAAATACGATGTAATGAAAATGTAAGAAGGTATATGCTGTAAATCATTAATTTAAAACGATGGCGATGGTGACATATGATGGCGTAGCCTGTAAATTTGTACGGAGAAATTTCAATAATAGCGGTTAAATGATAGACATTGCAATAATTTGGTTTATTCTGACTTCAGTTACACATATGCAAATCTGAGAAAACGAGACGTAGCTAAAATACAGTCTGCAGAGGGTCAGTTGGTTGCTAAACATGATATGTGTATTTGTATATGGATGCACTAGCAAGGTCCGAGTAACATGAAACCATAAAAAAAGTCAAAGTGTAGCAAAATTCTGATTTTTGTTACGCCTCGTAGACTAAACAATATAATGTAAACAGTCTGTAAAATTAAACGCTCAACTTCCACTGGACCATTAACAACGATTCAACAATAGCTTTAACAATTTTAAACACTACAATACTTTCCGAACTATCAATTGGTTCAGACTTCGTTTAACATCTTCAGTCTTACTATCAGTTTCCTGCTTCAAAATTGACCTTGTTGTAAGTAAACCCGCTCTGAACCTTTCCTTTCTAGAAGAAAAAACATACTTATTATAGTGTGCATAGGGTAAATATAAACTGCTGGTACACACGAGCGTTGAATTGTCGCGTTGCAAAAATAAACGCACGTTTAGCATTACATAATAACAATAATAAACAAATTTATTCACAATTACCTCCAGCAATTACAGTAACTCATTTAAATAATAAATGTAATTGCAAAAAGGGCCAACATACAGAAAAAACTGATACAAGTGTTGACCCTCATTGAGGCAAAAATAATGAACATTATGCCGTGAGAATTTTAAGCGAATTTGAGGAAGAAACAATACAAATGGTTGAGATTAAATAGGCAAAAATACAGAAAAAAACAGTGACAAAGGATATTACTTCTGCCACATTAATTGTTGGAAGGTTTATTATAATGTTAATTAATATATGCGTACATTTTTCAGTTTGTAGTAGATACTTTTTGTAGTTGACTTTGAATGATTTGGAAGATCGGTTCTTAAAATGGAAGGGAATATTATTATATATGCTATAACTATTAAATGTAAAAGATCTCTCAAATATAGAGGTTCGATGTAGAGGGGGAGAGATACGGAAATTACTGCGAATGTTTAAATTATGGACGTCATGCCTAAATTTTATCCTTTTCCATAAATATGCTGGCGTTTTGGTAGTAACAATTTTATGGAATAATGCTGCTGAATGAAATTTTCTTCTGGAAGTCATATTGAGCCGACCAATTTCCCCTAGCTTGTGTGATATCCTGTTAAACTTGCGGATGCCAAAAATGAACCTTTTGGATTTTCTGAATTCGTCCGCAATCCATCTACGTTAAATAGGGTCCATACACGTCATCAATGGAGATGGAACAGTCCACGCGTCCTCGTATTGGAAAACGGTGATGCCATGCAAAACGCTCGTCAGGACGTTTTTTGCAGCGAGACAATTCAACGCCCAAATGTGCCGGCAGTATTACATATGGATTTTGTATGTTTATCATAGAATATACGAGCGCTGTCCCAAAAATAGGGTTCCCACGTTTGTTTGCCCGTCTCAGCTTTTCCAAAAGCCTCAGAAATTTCAACCGCCTGTTCTCGGATCGTGATTCGCCGATCTTCGAGCAAGATATGCTCACTGTTCGCCATAACCTCCTCATTCGTTGTTCATCGTGGATGTCCTAGCGGCCGCCAAAGAACTCTCTTCACCATTTGAGGTCATGCTGAGTGCTTTTACACGTTTCCCATATACTTCTCTCAACTGGCGATGAATTTCTGTGGGTGGTAAACGTTTTTTGCGTGCAAAAATCGGATGACGGTGATGAAGGGCTCTTTTGCGCATGACTATCAGGCCGGTATCTAGCGTTGTCAATAAATAGGCGATTCTTGTTGGGATCGGTGATGGGGAGGCGACAAAATCGAAGGTGTTGCCAGATTTCGCCTAGCATCACGCGCGGAAACCTTATTTTTGAAACAACCCTAATATAAATAAATAAATAAATTACCCTTCTTTAAAAACACTGATTTCCTCTAGTACGGTTCATATCACTTCCGCAGCCGTCTCTTCGCTATTTGCAGTATGTTGCTCTGAATATTCCGACTTAAGTGCAGCGTGAGTCTTCATGTGCTGGTGCAAACTATCCCTACGGTAGAAGGTGCTGCCGCATTCTTTGCAGTTGAAGCTTTTGTTTACGTCGTGGATACGCGCATGCCGCAGCATTTTATCTTTACGGCCGAAACTTTTGTTGCACCTGTCGATCAATTTAAATTATAGTCGGATAGGAAAGTGTCATTGTAGTGTTATATTGCAGTTCGCTTGAAAGAGATTTTATTTTATTTTTAAAATTGTTATAAATCGGATACAATTAATTATCTGATGAAATGAATGCGATGAATAAATCACACAAAGGATTTTCCTAATCAAATATCAAAATGAAAGAGAGTAGCAAAAAGGTATAACTTATCATACGTTAGTTACTGGTAACACGTTGGTGTGTCGTTGTTTACGTGAATTTGACAGAACTCATATGTTGATATTTGATAAACGTTTTTGAAAAAAATCTTTATATTCTCTTTCCAATATTTCAAGGATACAATATAAAAATTTGCTACTAAAATATGCGAGAAGAAGAATTTTAATAGATATGTCAATAGATTATCTCACAGTTGTTAAGTTAAATACTATATTTAGGATAAGGAAAACATGGTCAATAAAAAGTTACATAAGTTACGGTTCTTCAACGGTAAACTTACCTTGGACATTTGAAGGGTTTCGCTCCAGAATGGGTGGCGATGTGTCGGTCTAGTTCGCGTTTCTTGATGAAGTTCTTGCTACAAATATGGCAGGAAAATGGTCGAGAGCCGCTATGGATTTGTTGATGAACCTAGATTAGATAATACACAAAAGTAATTTTTTTTTAAACCATAGACTTATCTAAGTACAAATGCCATTAAGTTTGCTTAAATATCTTTTCCTTTCACTCGAGATAGGGCGGGTGTGTTGGAGGCTTGCGGTTTGGGTAAGTGTTGTACAGGATGGGCCATATTAAAATTCACTTTTACAAACGATGTAAATGGAAGCAGGTCATACCTAGAAGAGTTTGCTAATATTTATGATATAAAAGGACATTGGCGCTTACTGATAAGAAATGCCAACTTAACTTATCAGGCTAAACACGGGTACAATCGAGCAACGTGTCCGGTCTCCAGACAACGCAACGTTGCTAAACCAGTAACGTGCGATGTTGCATATTTTAACAATGCCTATGGTTTGCGGAAAAAAATTCGTCGTGCTACATAAGCTCAAATATAGGCTAAATTCGCTGGTTTTGCACCTTTAGGTTAGGATATCTCGTAATCTGGAGCCAAATGAGAGATTTATACCACGGATTCGTATTCAATGCATCAAAAACCTTTGGGAGAGTATATTTTTATTTATTTATTTATCAGGATAGGTTTGGAATTCACTTCAGATATTCACGTGAAACAGCTACGGCGACTTTGGATATGCACTTACGTGAAGATTATCGATTTTGGAGAACTTCTTGGGGCAATGCGAACACTTGTACCGTTTCAAATTATCAGCCCGCTTCTGCCTCCCGTAATTTTCTTCAGGTGCTCGGGTGGGTAACTGATTCGCCAAATCGGGATCTTCTTTGAGGTCTTCCAGTTTTATGTGGTTGTTGATGTTGCTGTCATGGTCGTTGTGAGGTTCATTTTCCGAATTGTCGCCTCCACGCTGCGGCGTTGCGCTTGTACCAAAGTTGTTGTGGTTGAAAGGGTCCAGGTTGATGATCATATTCTCAGAACCTAAAACAAGATATTACTTAATGTAACAGAGTAGTGGGGAAAAATCATTTAGGGCCGTATCGTCAGTCGTTCCTTTGTGGCCTCCTTGATTTTCATAGTTTCCTACTGTTCCGTGTCGGCGCTGTATTTTGAGGTTATGTCAGAAAGATCTAATTGCATCAAATTATTCATGCTTTTGATTTATATCATCTGTTTTAACAGCCTTAAATTTCCTACAATTCGAAAATAAAACATAACTTCACAATAGGAGAGCGCAGACGCCGACACGGAACTGTAGAAATATAGAAATACCCCAGCCTTTCTGAAGGAGAGAAAAAACTATGAAAATCAAGAAGGCTATAAAGGCGTCCTAAAGAATTTGTGTGGGAAAAAGCTATGAAAGGTTGAAATTTTGACTGGTGCTCTTAAAGTGGGACAACAGAACGTATAGTAAAACTAAGCTACGTTTCCTAGTAGCAGACACATTAAAATCTTAAGGTAACTGAGATATTAAGTTTAAAAAAATATATCAGTATTCAACCAATCGTTGCGCGCCGTATAGGTAAACCGAATTGTTTGTTTATAAATTGGATTAGAAAGAACGTAAACGCCACATTCGTATAGCAACAACAAACTTGTCGATTTGATATTACTTTATGGTTAGAGTCTTCAAAGTGTTGTTGTTGCTTTGCGAGAGTATTCAGATCGTTTTCCTGGTCGTCTCTGTCCTGCGTCAGATTGGTTTGTTTATCCCATACAAAGCCAGTTTTTAGGAAAGTCGAGGTGGGCACAGTGGATATCTTCGAACGTTGCAAATTGAGGAAGCAGTGTTGTGTTTTTCAAAATGAGGTTAGTAACCTTCAGAACACCATGCATTAAATTATTTCACCCCGAGTAATAAATCGCCTACTTGATAGATAAAAAGAGACAACAAGACAAAGTACTAAAATGCTTCTTAGAAACCTGGAATAGGACTATGCTTAATAACTCTGAAAAGAGTGAAAAGCAAACTTTTAAGGAGATTGAATCGTAACTACCTTGCTACTAAAAAAGATTCTCAAACAGATGCCATATGTACAGTTTACCATAATAATAATAATAAACCTTTTTTATTTGTAATAATATTACAGGCGAGATTTAGATACTATATCTATTCTACCACCTAACCCCCTTACAATATGAGACGTATGTCTACATATGAAATGAACTGTTAAAAATTAATACCCGTATACAATAACCTCAAAATAGTAGAATCGATGTTAAGGCATCAGGAAAAGATGAGATCAGTTAACACATGTGTTATTACAGATTTTGCTCCGGTTTGAATAAATGAAAGAGGTTTTTACTGCACTCTATCCGATATTCACGGCTACAATACACGAGGGAAAAACCAAATAGTACCTCCAAGAAATAGAATTAATGTAGCCAAAAACCTTGGAGTTGGTATTACAATAAACTTCCTGAGATGTTAGCGGTCTGCCGTTGGAGCGTTTCAAAAGGAAGGTCGAATCAATTTTAATAGACATATTTGTATGTATTGTGCTGTGTTATAATTTAATACGATGTCTGCGTTACAGTGTATGTAGTCAAGCTTGATGTAATTATTATTTATACGTGTATGCATTGTGTTTGAATTTTATCTACTTTTATAATGGATTATTTATTTTTTATTGTCTTAAATTCTCGACTCACCAAAAATGTGATTGTTCATTCTCTAGCTCAATAAATATCTATCTATCTACCTAGATCTCAAATCCGAATAATCTACCACTCACCTTCCTTGCCTTCTCCACATTCCGCTCTATCGCCAGGAGGAGTGGCGTAAACCGCATCCCGCATCATCTGCAGCTCCTTGGACCTATCGTGCGTGCCGTCCTGATCCCTAACGGGAAAATGTCTTTTCTCGTGCCTCTGCAGCTTGTCCCTCCGACCGAAGCTCAAATGGCAGAAGTTGCAAGCGAACGGTCGTTGACCCGAGTGAATGACCGCGTGCCGAGTGAGGTCGCCTTTGGAAGTGAACGTCTTCGGACATTTGGGACACACAAACGGCTTTGTGCCCGAATGGATGCGCATATGCTTCGAAAGGTTCGTGTTGCGCGAGAAGGATTTGTAGCAGACTGTACAAGTGTATGGTTTCACTCCTGAAAAGAAAATATATTTTTCAACGTAGTTTGAACACTTCCGCATTCTTAGAGTGGTTTATGAGTACATGATTCAATTGGAGGTGCTGTTCTTTTGTGGATTGAGCTGACTATGCATGGCCCTTCCTATAAGATGATGGGTACATAATCTGCATGTGCAGAAATCTCAACTTAACCAATTATTTTACATGAACATTTGCTTTTTTAGTGCTCAATGCATTCTCGCCTACTAGCAATATAAAATGGTAATTAACTTCAGCCATAGAGAAATTGGTGGACCACCTAGAAAGTTGTAGTAAAATCGCAATCTCTAACCTATTTTTTCAGTCACAAAACCCACAGAACACGATAGTTCAGACGCAAAAGCGTTTCCGCATGCAGTTCTGGGCTAGTAAAGCAGAATTCGAAAAAATTTACAATTGACCTACAATGTTTATAGTTAAGTTGCGAGTGAAAATCGCTCATTAGGGCTCCGTGACCAAACTGTTGCATAATTACCTGTATGAACGATTGTATGTTTCCTCAAATCCGACCTTCTGGCAAACGTTCTATTGCACTGTGGGCAATTATAAGGCTTATCGTTTTTGTGGACGCTCTTCAAATGTGCCGAATACAAAACCCTATCAGCGAAACTCATAAAACACGCGCTACACGCGTACGGCGTATCACTGTTGTGAGCACTGCTTTCGTGGTTCAGGCACTCCTGAAACAAAATACAGCGATCAGTGGTCAGGTGCTAACTTCAATTAATAACTAATTTAGGTGACTGAAAGTATTGTAATGCCCTGTATAGTGATGTAAGCCACAGACAGCTGGCGCGTCAATTTTAGTTTTTTGAGTTCTGTGTCATCTGTTGTAAATTGTAGATTAGGTATGTTGTCAGCTAAAGTTTCGCATTTCAATAAACAACACAATTGTGGTATTAGTCTATTTGAAGACATGATACTTCTTTTTTCTACCAGTGTGTGGAAAGGACTCGCTTTCAACACGCTTCTGCATGCAGAAAGTAGCACTTTTCCGCACAAGTGCTACTTTCTGCACGCAGATGCGTGTTGGAAGTGAGTACTTTCCGCACGCTATTAAAAAAAAATCTTATACCTAGCACCTTGACTGCTTTGCCTGAACTCCGTTTGTATCACTTTCAGCACTATTATTACTTGCAATAATAAATAACTATTATAACTTTCAAATAGTGGCACAAGCCTGAGATAGATAAACAATGCAATGAAAACATATGGGCTCCTAATCTGTACGAAATCGTAATAATTGTGAACGGAGTCTTCAAAGTTTGTATCTTAAAAATACTATCAATTTCAGTTGACCTTTGACAAACCTCAAGTTTACGTGGCTAAGGCCCGTATCGTCAGTCGTCCCTACAATTGTAGGGCGCGTTTATGGCCTCCTTGATTGTCATACTCCTTTCTCTCCTTCAAAAATTTCTAGATTACACTTGTCCCGTGTCAGCGTCAGCGCTCTCCTATTGTGAAGATATGTTTTCTTTTTAAATTGTAGGAAATTTCAGGCTGATAAAACATGATATAACTCAAAAGCAAGAACAATTTGATGCAAATAGATGTTTGTCACATAACCTCAAAATAGAGTTCTGACACGGAGAAGTAGAAAACTATGACAATCAAGGAGGCCATAAAGGCGCCCTACAATTGTAGGGACGACTGACGATACGGGCCTAACTGCGAACTTACTATTTCGGGCGGTAAGAGAAAGATTTTATTTCAAAAATCCAACATTCAAACTCAAAGTACCTGTGGATCAGTAAATGCATGATCGCAGTATTTACACATAGAAACCCCTCTACCCTCCTGTTCGGCGTCGTTTCCGTCGAGGTTTTCCATATTCTCTTGGTCACTTGCACAGCCTCCTCCTACAGTACCTCCAGGGTCCTTATCCGACTCGTAATCGGATTCGTAGTCATTTGCCATTGGATCGACTACCATCACGACGTCCGAATCATCGTTACCTCCTAAAAATTAAATGCCTATTTAGTTTGAAAGCTCTTGTCATTAACTTTGACGATGTCTTGCATTCTGTCCGTACATGTAAACGCGACTCAACAAACTGTGCAATTTGTTGCGAACAACGATGAAACCAAAACCGAACCCATTTTTTGTTTATGGCAATATATGTTTTCAAGATTATTCATTCAGGTTTGCAGACGTTGTAAGAAATATGTTGTTGCGTACTTGATTTATAATAATAAATGAATATGTGGGAGGGAAATAGCAAAAGCCACCAAAATTTTTGTCAGGTATACAGCAATAAAATTTTCTTCTCAATTTTCATGACGAGCATTTTATATTTCAATAATATTTTTGGATAACCCCGTATTCTACTGCTAAAGATGAAAAGACGTCCCCCTAGAAATCAAAATTGACGTATCCGAGCGTTTTGCCCAAAATATACCAGGAGAGTCACAAATAGGGGTGCGACCTTCTCGTTGGGCCGTCCTGTATACAGGGTGACTTCGAAGTTGAGTCATTTATTTTAACAGTGAGTAGATCTGATCAAAAAAGTTTTTTTCCTTTACCATTTTTCTGGTAAAATTAAAGTAACAAAGTTATAGCCCTTTGGAAGTTTGAGTACCGCCCTGTCTCAATAATAATATCATGTGTCGCTGTTTGGCAACAACGGATATAATCCACCTTATCGGTTCATCGCATCGGAAACAAAAAAGCGAAAGAATTTGGAACGATGTTTTTACAATCTTTTTATTCAGTTCAGTTATACATACAGTCAGTGTCAGTCGCGTGTGAATAGTGTCTGTTGCGTGGCTCAAACGAAATAAAAATGGCACATGTTTATGCCGATCGGTTTCCCAATCGAGTGCAACCAACCCCTCGTGCCTTTGTTAATGTAGTACAACGGGCTCGTGAATCAGGTGACTTAAGACCTCACAGGGGACCTCACGATCAAATACAGGTCCGCACTGAAATACTTGTCGGGAGGATACTTTAAAAACAAGGTAAACATTTTTTTTATTTTTTTTTTATTTTTACACACTTATTTTGGTTTATCTTCCTTCTACAGTCATTATCTGAAAATTAATGACTCAACTTCAAAGTCACCCTGTATATATATATATATGTTAGTATACTCACCAACCCCCAGTTGTTCGTAGACAGGCAATCCATTGACAGCAATGTTTTCAGACCCATTTTCTTTCCCCATAACGCCATTGATTTGGCGTAATGTTGCATCGGACATGAAGCATAGCTGACGAAACTCCAAACAAAATTCTACTTTGAACAGGCAGCGATGGCATATTACGTTCGGTAGACCATCCCCGTGAGAAATCTGAGGAATGAGAAATAAAATGCGGCTTACTTTTGTATGCTTGCCGAGTTTGTTATATTTTTTTTAAATATATTGTCGTACATTCGCCGTAACTTTTCCATTATTTTTTTTTATTTGTCGCACCCAGTTCGGTCCTGCGCAAACGCATACGGTTTCGCACCTACCTTGCGCCGGTCCTGTTTACCTCCCACCGATATAAAGTAGGGTTCGGAAATTCAAAATTGGCGCCGTTTAAAGCTTTGTCTGCCATTCCGCTGTTGCCAAATCTAACATTTGTTTATGTCTTGCTGATTTATAGACGCTAGCGTATTGTTATGTATTTGACAATCTATCATAGCTATTTATCGTTAGAAATAGAAATTATAAGAATAAATCAACGAATAGACTATGTGGCAGAGAGGGGGAAGTAACGCGGGACTAACATCCAGTCAAATGCTATATTCATTCACTTCCACACTAAATTTGTTGAATATTTTCATGTAGAGAAGTCACATACTCAGAACGGTTGTAAAAGCGTTGTAATCTGTAAAAAGCAATGGAAAACACGGTTCGTCCAAATTGTATACGTTTCTTACATCAACATGGAAATTAGAACAAAAAAATAAATTGATAGCTACTGTACAGGGGAAAGAAACATTAGCGAATTCATTTCTTTTCTACTATACTGTATGCAAAATTACAACAAAATAAACGTAATATGATTAATATGTCTTGACGTGAAGCTAAAATCAAAAATACAACTTCATTAAGTAGATACGTTATTTTTTTATGAGGTTTTTGTCAGAGACGTATGACTTATCATAAGGTTCTTATCGAGTAGCTTTGTCCATTCGCCCTAAGCTTTTCAGTGTCTCTGACATGCTTTACTAACACTAATTTCTTTCCTTTTTGCATAGTTTAAAGTATTTTCATTTGGTTTAATTTAATTTTAATGACGAACAAGCCAAAAATTGTTTCGAGTCCCGAATAATTATGCCACTATGCGGAGTTGTCCTAACTTTCAGGATACCATGTATGTATATATTGTGAAGCGTACATTTTAAAATTATTTTTTGTTCATCAAAATCCCAATCGTTTTGGATGTTTTCAAGTAAACCATATAGTCACTTGTCTTGGTTTTAAGAGTCGAAGAACAATTTTACGTCAATGAACGACTAATAAGGGGTTAAAACTTATACGTTACTAGAAATTCAAACACACTGGATTGATTGTGATACACTAAAATACGCATCTTTCACAAAACGCACATTCATGCTTTGTATAGATGTCACTATTTCTGAAATCTAGGTATATTTTTCGCTGTGGAAATCTGGCAACGTGGCCTGTAAGCGCCATGTGGTGTCATGGTTAATTTTCTGAAAATACAGTCATTTTAGTTAAAATTTGTGGATTTCTATATTTTCGCTAGTCAAGATCAATCTTAAATCGCATTCATTGATAAATTCGGCGCCAACCGCCAAATAATGTGTAAATACGGTAAATTCGTTGCAAAACGTCTCTGTTCAAAGGTAGGCTATGGCGGACGACCCCGACTTGTCATAGATCGAGAAAACTTGCTGATTTACCTGCAATGCCGTGCAATCGATAATTTTCTTATAAATGCTCTTATCCTTCCCTTGGATGTGGTTGAAAATCCCCAGCATAAACCCGTCCTTCTGCAAGCACAACCTGCATATCGTCGAGTAGCTTCTCCACGGTTCCATATCTCCGATTCGGGCACGAGGCGGCACAATAGTCCAACGTTTGAATGATATCGAGAATGTTTGTGGCTGGTGTTTCCGCTGGATAACCTGGCAACGGCAATCGCAGTGTCAGTGCGGTCTCGTATGGGGCACCTCGGCGAAGCCTCCTATCAGTCCCGTTCCGCTATCGACGCCCGACTAAGGGCGCTTTCGGCGAGACTTGCGCGCGGCCCCCCTCGGTCGGTGCTCCCGAACAGCTGCCTGACTCGTGGCGGCTAGTTCGAAATCGCTACCTGGGGCACAGACGATGTACCTGTTTACTTGTTTTTCGCATTGGGGTGACCTTTGCGTCTTGATGTTAGGGGATGAATTGTTACTTTAAACAATCTATTTTAGCTTTTTGCGTTTGTGATTTAAAATGGGGTATCTCGGTAACAATATTATGCGTTCACGACGTAGTGAATAATTCATCAATGTGAGATTTTCTATTGTTGCTTGTTATCACTACTTTTTATTGATTTTTGTTCATTATGTATTTTCCATCACATTTTATTGAGGAATCGACTTTTTATATATTCAAATCTGTGAAATCCATCTGTGAGTTGATGCTTTTTGGAAGGGGTGGGCCAAATTCCTTTCAGCCTCTCAATTATTGTATTATTTTCAAGTACATCTTACAATTTTCAAGAGAGCTGTTGTAACTTTCCAATAATAATATAATTGAAAAATCTATATTATATGTTTATTTTTGGAATTGCAATTATAACAAAGTCAATAGATAACGCGATTTTAGCATTTTTATCGGTTGTACAAAACTGTGTGCTTGTCTTTTTTGTAAATGTTATAATGTTTATACCTATCACCATATCATGAAATCTTGTTAAAATAGTTCCTACTACAAAAGGAAGGCTTCTGTCTCTAGGGACAACTATAAGAAAGCCTGTTTTTTTCATCAAGTCCTCAAAATTCCGGGAAAACGTGCATTGTTAATTTCTCATCAATGGCATTTGTGAGATTATCTATTCTTGCTTGCTTTCTCCACTTTTTATTGATTTTCGTTCATTTTTTATTTTCCACTGCATTTTATTTTGGAATAACCTTTTTACATATTCAAATCTGAAAAATCCATCTGTGAGTTGATGCTTTTTGGAAGGGGTGGGCCAAATTCCTTTCAGCCTCTCAATTATTGTATTATTTTCAAATACATCTTACATTTTTCGAGAGAGCTGTTGTAACTTTGCAATAATAATATAATTGAAAAATCTAAATTATAGGTTTATTTTTTGAATTGCAAGGATAACAATATTAATAGATAACGCGATTTTATCATTTTTATCGGTTGTACAAAACTGTGTGCGTGTCTTTCCTGTAAATGTTATAATTTATACCAATCTAGATATAAGGAAAACTTGAAAATAGTTCCTACTACAAAAGGAAGGCTTCTGTCTTTGGCGACAACTATAAGAAAGCCTGTTTTTGGCATCAGGTACATATACCTAATGACCTTTTAAGCCCTGAAAATTCCGGGAAAACGTGCATCGTTAATTTCTCATCAATGGCATTTGAGATTATCTATTATTGCTTGCTTTCTCTACTTTTTATTGATTTTCGTTCATTTTTTATTTTCTACCGCATTTTATTGAGGAATCACCTTTTTACATATTCAAATATGTGAAATCCATCTGTGAGTTGATGCTTTTTGGAAGGGGTGGGCCAAATTCCTTTCAGCCTCTCAATTATTGTATTATTTTCAAATACATCTTACATTTTTCAATAGAGCTGTTGTAACTTTGCAATAATAATATAATTGAACAATCTAAATTATAGGTTTATTTTTGGAATTGCAAGTATAACAATATTAATAGATAAAGCGATTTTAGCATTTTTATCGGTTGTACAAAACTGTGGGCTGTCTTTTCTGTAAATGTTATAATGTTTATACCAATCAACATATCAGAAAAACTTGAAAATAGTTCTTACTACAAAGGAAGGCTTCTGTCTTTAGGGACAACTATAAGAAAGCCTGTTTTTGGCATCAGGTTGATATACCTAATTACCTTTTAAGCCCTCAAAATTCCGGGAAAACGTGCATTGTTAATTTCTCATCAATGGCATTTATGAGATTATCTATTCTTGCTTGCTTTCTTTACTTTTAATTGATTTTCGTTCATTTTTTATTTTCCACCGCATTTTATTGAGGAATCACCTTTTTACATATTCAAATCTGTGAAATCCATCTGTGAGTTGATGCTTTTTGGAAGGGGTGGGCTGTATTCCTGTCAGCCTCTCAATTATTGTATTATTTTCAAATACATCTTACAATTTTCAAGAGAGCCGTTGTAACTTTCCAATAATAATATAATTGAAAAATCTCAATTATAGGTTTATTTTTGGAATTGCAAGCATAACAAAATTAATAGATAACGCGATTTTAGCATTTTTATCGGTTGTACAAAACAGTGTGCGTGTCTTTCCTGTAAATGTTATAATGTTTATACCAATCAAGATATCAGAAAAACTTGAAAATAGTTCCTACTATAAAAGGAAGGCTTCTGTCTTTAGGGACAACTATAAGAAAGCCTGTTTTTGGCATCAGGTAGATATACCTAATTACCGTTTAAGCCCTCAAAATTCCGGGAAAAAGTGCATTGTTATTTTCTCGACAATGGCATTTGTGAGATTATCTATTCTTGCTTGCTTTCTCTACTTTTAATTGATTTTCGTTCATTTTATATTTACAACCGCATTTTATTGAGGAATCACCTTTTTACATATTCAAATCTGTGAAATCCATCTGTGAGTTGATGGTTTTTGGAAGGGGTGGGCCAAATTCCTTTCAGCCTCGCAATTATTGTACTATTTTCAAATATATCTTACAATTTTCAAGAGAGCTGTTGTAACTTTGCAATAATAATATAATTGAAAAATCTATTATTTTTGGAATTGCAAGTATAACAAAGTTAATAGATAACGCGATTTTAGCATTTTTATCGGTTGTACAAAACGGTGTGCTTGTCTTTTCTGTAAATGTTATAATGTTTATACCTATCACCATATCATGAAAGCTTGAAAATAGTTCCTACTACAAAAGGAAGGCTTCTGTCTCTAGGGACAACTATAAGAAAGCTGGTTTTTGGCATCAGGTTGATATACCTAATTACCTTTTAAGCCCTCAAAATTCCGGGAAAACGTGCATTGTTAATTTCTCATCAATGGCATTTGTGAGATTATCTATTCTTGCTTGCTTTCTCCACTTTTTATTGATTTTCCTTCATTTTTTATTTTACACCGCATTTTATTGAGGAATCAACTTTTTACATATTCAAATCTGTGAAATCCATCTGTGAGTTGATGCTTTTTGGAAGGGGTGGGCCAAATTCCTTTCAGCCTCTCAATTATTGTATTATTTTCAAGTACATCTTACAATTTTCAAGAGAGCTGTTGTAACTTTCCAATAATAATATAATTGAAAAATCTAAATTATATGTTTATTTTTGGAATTGCAAGTATAACAAAGTTAATAGATAACGCGATTTTAGCATTTTTATCGGTTGTACAAAACTGGGTGCGTGTCTTTCCTGTAAATGTTATAATGTTTATACCAATCAAGATATCAGAAAAACTTGAAAATAGTTCCTACTACAAACGGAAGGCTTGTGTCCCTAGGGACACCTATAAGAAAGCCTGTTTTTGGCATCAGGTTGATATACTTAATTACCTTAAGCCCTCAAAATTCCGGGAAAACTTGCATTGTTAATTTCTCATCAATGGCATTTGTGAGTTTATCTATTATTGCATGCTCTCTCTACTTTTTATTGATTTTCGTACATTTTTTATTTACAACCGCATTTTATTGAGGAATCACCTTTTTACATATTCAAATCTGTGAAATCCATCTGTGAGTTGATGCTTTTTGGAAGGGGTGGGCCAAATTCCTTTCAGCCTCTCAATTATTGTATTCTTTTCAAATACATCTTACAATTTTTAAGAGAGCTGTTTTAACTTTCCAATAATAATATAATTGAAAAATCTAAATTATAGGTTTTGTTTTTGGAATTGCAAGTATAACAAAATTAATAGATAACGCGATTTTAGCATTTTTATCGGTTGTACAAAACAGTGTGCGTGTCTTTCCTGTAAATGTTATAATGCTTATACCAATCAAGATATCAGGAAAACTTGAAAATAGTTCCTACTACAAAAGGAAGGCTTGTTTCCCTAGGGACACCTATAAGAAAGCCTGTTTTTGGCATCAGGTAGATATACCTAATTACCTTTTAAGCCCTCAAAATTCCGGGAAAACGTGCATTCTTATTTTCTCATCAATGGCATTTTGTGAGATTATCTATTCTTGCTTGCTTTCTCCACTTTTTATTGATTTTCGTTCATTTTTTATTTTCCACCGCATTTTATTGAGGAATCACCTTTTTACATATTCATATCTGTAAAATCCATCTGTGAGTTGATGCTTTTTGGAAGGGGTGGGCCAAATTCCTTTCAGCCTCTAAATTATTGTATTATTTTAAAATACATCTTACAATTTTCAAGAGAGCTGTTGTAACTTTCCAATAATAATATAATTGAAAAATCTCAATTATATGTTTATTTTTGGAATTGCAAGTATAACAAAGTTAATAGATAACGCGATTTTAGCATTTTTATCGGTTGTACAAAACTGTGTGCCTGTCTTTCCTGTAAATGTTATAATGTTTATACCAATCAAGATATCAGAAAAACTTGAGATAGTTCCTACTACAAAGGAAGGCTTCTGTCTTTAGGGACAACTATAAGAAAGCCGGTTTTTGGCATCAGGTAGATATACCTAATTACCTTTTAAGCTCTCAAAATTCCGGGAAAACGTGCATTCTTATTTTCTCGACAATGGCATTTGTGAGATTATCTATTCTTGCTTGCTTTCTCTACTTTTAATTGATATTCGTTCATTTTTTATTTTCCACGGCATTTTATTGAGGAATCACCTTTTTACATATTCAAATCTGTAAAATCCATCTGTGAGTTGATGCTTTTTGGAAGGGGTGGGCCAAATTCCTTTCAGCCTCTCAATTATTGTATTATTTTCAAATACATCTTACAATTTTCAAGAGAGCTGTTGTAACTTTGCAATAATAATATAATTGAAAAATCTAAATTGCTTATTTTTGGAATTGCAAGTATAACAAAGTTAATAGATAACGCGATTTTAGCATTTTTATCGGTTGTACAAAATTGTGTGCGTGTCTTTCTTGTAAATGTTTTAATGCTTATACCAATCAAGATATCAGGAAAACTTGAAAATGGTTCCTACTACAAAAGGAAGGCTTTTGTCCCTAGGGACACCTATAAGCCTGTTTTTGGCATCAGGTTGATACACCTAATTATCTTTTAAGCTCTCAAAATTTCGGGAAAACGTGCGCTGTTAATTCCTCATCAATGGCATTTGTGAGAT